TAAGTGCGCGAGCGCGCGCGAAACGATCCCGGACCCTAGTCGTCGATGACAACACTAGGAAACACAGCACGTCGATCCGTTTTTCTCCTGAATATTACCGTAAGCCTTCTCGATTTGAAACAGCATTCGTTCGAACAACGATTTTACGTTCTAAACCAAGAAAGCGATTAGCGTTGGCGAGAGGTACTGTAAAAAACAAAAAGAATTTCAAAAAGAGGCAGAACGATGTTTAGCAACCGGTAACTTGTCAAGAGTACAAATCGACAAATACATGTATGTTCAAAGGTTTTTGATTTTTGAACTAAATCGAAGCATATAACAATTTAGTTTCGTTTTTAACATGTCATTAATAAGGATTTACGGTCGCTTGCATAATCAATGGACGAGATGCAATGTGCAAAATCTTGTGCTGTGTATCAGTGGAAGATTAGACGTAGAAATTTTTATGTAATCACGTGGCGTAAACCAATTACGTAAATTCTGTAATCGGAACACAATTACTGATTAGATTTTTGCAGACTAAAATAAATTTCTATACATGTTAAATTAATTACAAGATAGAAAAATTCACGCAGTTGTGTGTCTGTCACTATACGTTTTTGATGGTGCGCCTGCCTCAGAAAGTCATTCATCCGTTCAACAAGCTAGAGCTGTTCTGGTAACCGTCAAATTATGTGACGTGTGACACAAATCCATGTCACAAGATGAAGCCTGGACTGGTAACACTTTACCTGATAATCCTTGGCCGACGTTTCCAAGAAACCGGCTTTCCACTTCTCAGCCAACTTTCTGCCCTCGTCGGTGCTGACCTCACTAAAACAGGCGGCGGCGAGAAACGGTGAAGGACGCATGCAAACAGTACGTCGTAGCCTACCGCTCAACGTGCTGCAGGTCCAGTTTATTGCCGACCAAAATCAGAGGCACACTAAAGCAAGATCGTTAAACACGTATGGTTCACACTCACAGACAGTGGCGGCGCCGCTGTCGCCATCGCCATTGCAGTAGCGGTATGGTACGCACTTGATCTGTCCGGTGCTGTCCACCTGGCCGGCACTATCCAAGATCTTATCATAGATGACCTTGACGACGTCAAAACTATAATCTAGTCATGAACAGTAATTTCCGGCACAGGTCACGGCTTACTTACGACTTCCTGTTGTTGATGGCATACACAAGCACGTAACCGTGCATGCCGACCGTGTACGACCTGGGAAACAGCGAGTACTCGTCCTGAAACGCAAAAGCGACCCGGTAAATAACGGAAATACGGTTTTTCAAAAATAAGCTGCGCTCCGCCGTCACCTGTCCCGCTGTGTCGAACAAGTACAAGAGGTATTTCTTGCCACGGAAGTCGAACATCTTCGTGAAAGCTAAACAACGTAATGTGAGGCTTACAACAAACAACCGCACTTGAAACACCTCACTGTTGGATATGGTCGGATCGTAGCTATCGGGAAACCGATTTTCCGCGAATTGAAGAGTGATCGACGATTTTCCTTAAACAACCGCTACGATCTACACATCTACGTTTGAAATACACACAAACGTATAAAAGCACTCTTTAGTCTCAAATATTCGAATATTTAATATACTTTTGCTGCAGGAAACATCATAACAAAAGGTTAACTTTTAACATTCTATTGGCACAGATTCTGGCAAAATCCATATACAGAAAACTAGAAAACAAGATTAAAGCAATCAGAGAACACACACACATTATAATCTTTCGCTCGCTATCAGAGGTAAGCAAGTACAAACGAATTCCACAACAGAGTAAAGTAATATCATTACGTGTCACTTGATGCAATACTGCTTGTCCATTATGTCCAACTGGCATTTCACATTAGCGGCTAGGTGACAAATACAGGCTAGGTAGCTAGACAACGCGTTACGTCGGTAATTCAAAATAAGAAAACTAACACGGCCATGGCTTGGATCCACTTAAGTTTCTGAACTAGAAGCACACAGCCGGATCCTGGAATTCCTGAAGCTTTAACAACTTTACAGAGACGGCCAAATTAAATTCCTTGAAGCGATGAAAGAGTGCAAATGACACTGTTATGTAATAACGCTCCGTGAGACCGATAAAGATCAAGCTAAGAATTTTTTAAGGAGACTGAATCCTGCCTGCCCATTCTATTTTGCCTGGCACTGAATCCACTCAGTTACTTGCCAAATAACAAAGGCTGAAATACGCCAGTATAATATCCCACTTGCTGCACATGGACGACCTTCGGTTGTATGCGAGACCAGCCGGTACAAGAGTTGCATAACCTGATGCAAAATGTATGAATCTTTCTGGAAGATATGAAGATGAAATTCGGGTTTGATAAACGTGCTATGGTCGAGATTAACAGGAGAACGATATGGAAAAGCGACGGAAAGGCGCTACCAATTAATAAAATAAACATACCGGAAAAAATACACTCATACAAATACATTAGCGTGCTGCAACTTTACAATATATTACAAGAAAAACCACAGTAACGATAAAAACGGAATATGATAAGAGAATCCGCCGAATTGTGCAGGAAGAACAAAATTGTGGCCACTGAATAGTATACGATACCAGTGCTTACTTACATACAGGAAGCATCGTTGATTGAACGCAAGCGGAAAGACCATCATTGGATAGAAAAACAAATCTTACACAAATACAGCATTATACATCCAAATGTGGATATGCGACAGACCACACGTCATGCGCAATAAAGCAGGACTACGGTTCGGTAGTAACCAAAAGTCGCTG